CTTCTGTCCTGGTCTATCTATCTACTATTTACCCTCTTATCCAACTCCCGCTCTATCACAACTTCTCACTTGTTTACAAAAGGGCACAAAAGGATACACATTTTGACGAGTGGAATGTAAACAAGTGAGAAGTTGTGATAGGGCGGGAGTGGGATAAGAGTGTAAAGGGTAGATAGATAGACAATGACAGAAAGAGGAGTGATAGTGCAACCGTTTTCGGCAGAACGGTTGTCGAGGGATTGACTTCACTTGTCTCTTTGACGAATTCGTAGCTTGGTGCGGAGAATAGCAGTACTCACTGACAATGCCGACTACGATGCCGACGAAACGTTTGAGAATGTACCAAGTCCACTGTCTGAAGCTGGGAATTATGACAACTATTATGGCAGACGACTTCGGCCTAGTTGCGTTCTACTAAGTCCCCCTGACAACAAGACCAAGTTGCGACAACGAGGTCAACCCACATCTAAAAATTGATTCGATTTCTGGGCCTTTGCGGCACAGACGAGAATTCTGGTGAAAAAAAGAGCCTTTTACGATACCGGCCCTCCGTCGCCTAGGAGAGAGGAGCTGGAAGCGACCAGATAGCTCGGTGTTGAAGATAACTAAAAGACAATTTTCACGGTGATCGGGTAAGCTCGATCAAGCTTACTTCCTGGCTTGGGTTCATCTGAAACCTGAACCTAAAACATCTCAGTACGAGACTGATAAGAAGCTGTTTTAAGCTTTCGAGGCAAATTAAAGTCGTGTTTTTCCGGTTGATGAATGTGGACCGAATCGAATGAAAGGTTGCGAGATTGCATCAAAGTCGACGGTTAGTCAACTCGGCCCGAGACAATACTGCAAAGAACAACTCGTTATACCCTATCAAAACGGCTTCGTCTTGTCAATTTGGCATCAAAGTGGCTCGGTACCACGACTGACGTATGACCGGCTTGATGATGATACAGAAGTTGGCTATGAAACAGGTGCATTGCGTCTAGACCAGAAATCTCCCTCTATCCAATCGGAAGAGCCTTGGTTAAGGTGAAAATTGCTTATACGCTACGAACCCGTGCAGTTAAGGCGGCTTCAACTGGTAAAACCGGCTAATATTAATTTTTCGTAAAGCATATATATGAAATATCTTGACTCTATTTTGTTTAAGTGAATTAATAATCGAATATTCCCATTCGACTTCATATAGCGTCGAAGTCAACCATTACACCACATTGCGTGTTGAGAGTACACGACGCACTTTCATGGTTCGAGTCCTGCTGGAAATACTGATTAGACCAGTTTAGGTGAGATCGAAGCTGCAATCCACTCTTGACTAGGTGTGAATACCTTTTGGGAAGCGAGGCTCTGTGAAGTCGAATGAAAACGTAAGGTCTACTCATATGATTTTGGGAAAATTCAACTAACAACTCGCTTAATAGCTTCAACAAAATAGGCTGAATACTTGTTTTGGGTAATTGGAGGTACCATAAAATGACTAAGAACTTATGGTTGACTCCAGTCACAATGTCATAAATACACCTCAGGAGGTCATTGAATCTCACTTGGCTCCACCTAACAAAAGGTATATAAGATATAATCACCCTAATTCGGTTAGGGTTATGGAAGACTGGTAAATGATTTTTTCCACAATGCTATGAATAGAGCTGATGTTTTCATTACATTTCGCATTGCCTTGTTTTTCCAGAAGTTGTTCCCATCCAAGATGGACTGCAGTTTCGACCTCGCCTAGGTCTTATCGACCCACCCGACGGGAGTCGGACCATGACAGTGCAGCGTCTAATCTCAACACGATAACCAGTATCCAGTACCTTAAACTAAATGGGGTGAATACATTTTATACAACCAATTTATTAGTAGTCTTGAAAATCTACTGGTAAACGAAAATTAACAAAAGGTATTCTCATTCGGGCTGGATTGGGCTGCAGTTTAGACCTCGACGGTGTCAATCATCAGCACATCCAACGCGAATCGAACTGGGACTGTGGAAAGATTGAATTGTCAGCCCAACACCTTATGCGATCCAAGTTGAGTACGACTTTTAGTTACACATTATTATGCATATCGGGCAGTAGGCCATGAATGCCAGCTAGAAGCAGGCTAACACAGAACATACAAAGCATAATCATTTCGTCGAAAAGAATGAGTAGACAAGATAGAAGGGGACTTTATTTCTAGGCCCAATTTCCATTGGAAAAGCTTCATCAAGTCTAATTGGACTCTAATCTTGAAGAAGAACAGCTTCATGGGTGAGTTGGTGACGTTTTTCGCCAAATTGAAAGCCCGAAAGAAAGAAGACATTGGCCCCAGGAGAGTGCTACTGTCGCTAAAGTATGGCTCAGATGAAGCAGGAATCTGGACTCTGAATTTCATCATTGATGCGCTAAAACCACGTACAAGTTGCCAGCCTTTATACAAATAGTCAAGAGTTTAGTGTGCAGCAAAAGTATTTTTTGGAGTATCCATTAATAGAATCGACCGGCTTAGCCAAATATGGAAGCTGTACCAGTAAGCGAAATATTATGGAATATATGGTAATCAACAAAATAACCAACATCTTGAATAGAAGTGATGAGTGTAGGAGATTAAGTGGAAATAGCTTGTGGTTATTGGAGAGGATTAAAGCGAGAGAGACAGAGAGAGAGAGAGAGATATGGATCACTTTGCGTGCCATCCGCAGCCATTTTGCTTTTCAACAAGCGCGTAGGACAAGCATAGGTTGCCCACTCAAATGTGGAGATGTCTCGTTGAGTGGAACCAATTATGCCACAAGAAGTAGGTAGTATTGCATTCGGTCACTTTTCTTGTCTTCGTGTTTTGATGAATTTTCGTTAAGCATGGTGTCCTGCTCTGACGATGTCCGTCACATGACGGACGAAAGTTCAGCAATGCTGTATTGGGGTCGCTCGACGATGAACAAATCCACAGGCACAGCTCCAAAATAACCCCACTTCGACTTCCCCTCCACTCGCGGCTTCAAACGAAATGAAAGGTAGTCCAACATCAAAAGTCGAATGCTTATGAAGCCCACATGAAGCACTAATTTTGTTGTCGTTGTTATGGGAAATGCTGCCTGTAACTATGCGCCAGGTTTGCTTTGATTAATTTTGATATGAATAGCTTTTGAACAGTCAATTACACTTTAATAAAGAGTCTGTCATTTTGAGTCGCTAAAGGTGGCTTAGGGACTGAAGGCTGCGTTGCCCCACAATGAGATGACTAAGCATTCGTCGCAAAAGTCACCTTAAGCTGCCCCCAGTGATTGAATACCTGCCAATTATTCGTATCTGATGACTTGGCAACCCAACTTATATTAACCTTAAACGAAATTGGGTGAATTCAACTCATATTTGAGCTACTTGTTATCTCGAAAATCTGCTCATAAACGAAAAATGAGTAATGCAGTCGATTGCTATAGTAAATCTAAAGTTGTCTCATCGACAATCCCAACACAGAATGTGATATGGGAAAAAAATGGCTGGCCTTCCTTGAAATTCACATCTGCCCTTTGACGCAAAGACACTCGTGACGGTGTGGCGTAGATTACATTTTGCCCTGTCATGGTTCGAGTTTCGCTGGGGGTGCTGATGAGGCCAGTTCAGGCGAGATCGAAACAGCAGTCAATTCCAGCTGGGTTGAGAATACATTTTGGAAGACAAAGCAGTGTGAAAATTAGTGGAAACGTAGGGTCTACTCATTCGATTGGGGCCATTGTCTTGATCACCTTACACGAAATGGTGTGGGCTGTGTTAACTGACTCTCCAAAAATAACCAACGGCAGCTAATGTAGTGTCCCCGCAGATTATATGTGAATGTTCAATTCGTTAAAACGGTAATAAATGAAACCTTTTAGGATCGGATCGGATTCTCGTTGCCAGTCGCATTTGGACTCCTCAAAAAAACACGTCATTTTAACTGTACACTCACAAAAACACACCTTAACACTACTTACCTATTCTTGTTTCGCCAACGGCCAATATTAAATAATGTTTATAAGTAACATTTTAATATAAATAAATTATTTAAAAATAACAGAATAGAAGCCTTACATGCTACTGGTTAAATAATTGCCACAAGAATGCTGTGTCATTGCCTTGTCATAAGCTTTATATACTTGATTGCCAGTGCCTCAACTTCACTGATCAGTTGGCCAATCAGAATAGCAACAATCTGGCGTTCTTTCTAAATACTTGCAGCCAGACGATATTCGTAAATGAAGCAGAACAGTCTCTCGTTGCCATCTGCTGGCATCTGCGTTATCTGACTATCAGGTGCTCTAATAATCACAAGCCAGATAATCGTGTCTCCGGTGCCAACGTAAATGCCAACATCCGTTGCATGTAGCAACAAACAAACGAACTACAACTATCAATTCTCGGTTTGCACATCTGAAATATGCACAGTCCCAGACTTTTAGGCATATAGCTTACGACTATTGATCAGAAAAGAATAACGATGATGAATTTATCAGAAATTGTCAAGGTGTTTTTTGACGAATTATGGTGGCTATGACTTAGTGACCAGGCAGATGGGACTAATACTTATACTCACAGATCAATTATTGTGTGCATTGCCTCTTCGTGTCACGCTCGATGTGTGAATGGGAAAATGACTAAGTAGGATTTTCACCTGGCAACCACAAAGCAGGCCATTGTCGGTCTGTGGCACATTCAATTGGGCTTAATTTTGCCCTATTCACGCATGTAAGGCTTAGAATAATTGGAACTTGATATATGGTCTTGACTTGCAGTTATTACAGTTTTGAGCCCGGTTGAGGAGGATGCTGAAAGCAAGGGAGATCAAAACTGTAGTCTGGCCTCGATGAGAAGACGTATTGGCAAGCAAAGCTACATCAAATGGACTCGAAACTTGCTAGACCTTCACTATCCGTGGCAAACTGATCTGAAGGGAGCCAGGATGATAAAAGGCTACTTCATCATCAATTTTAGAAAGTGCGAAGGTAATAAGGCTTTCTCTAAATCTGACATTAAAACAAGTTTCGTTGCAAAGGCCTTCGTTTCGTATACAAGTGCATGATAAAGTGATTCAAAGGTCAATCGTACCACATTTTTTCATACCGCACCACAAGACGACTGCTGATTTCCGTTGCGATGTTGCTGTTTAGCCTTGATAAGACCTTCAGGTTGACGCAGTCGACGAGACAATCTCCCTCATTTTGGGTGAAAATGGGCTGGGTTTTCGCTCGTCATATGACACCAAGTCACGAAGAGTGCTAAGCTCTTTCCTATTTGATGTATATGCTCATAACAAGAAAAAATTAGATACAGATGGATGTAGAAAAGTTTGGCTGCTTCACCTATACTCGAGTTACTCTGTGTGTGTATGCATGACAACGTCTCTACGAAGAACTGGACCAAACTTAGAGTAATTAGAGAACAGTTTAACATCAACCTCGGGTCATTAAAATATAATTAATATGAGGTGTATTCACCCTATTTAGCTGACGTTTCCATTGAATTTTACATAGCCTTGTTTTCCCAAAAGTTGTTCTCATCCAGCCTCGACTGCAGTTTCGACCCCCAGCGGGAGTCGAACCGTGACAGTGCAGAATGTTAGTTTGAAACGTTAACCGCTCGGCCCCATTTCCACAATAAGACCGATGCGAGGTCGAAACTGATGTCCACGGATGCCTGGATGAGAACAACTTTTGGCAAAGCTAAACTATGTGAAATTCAATGGAAACGTCAGCTCTACTCATATCATTGTGGGAAAATTCTACTACTAGGGTGAATACATTTTAAATTAGTAATTGTATGCTTTAGTGCATGCTGTTAAGTGTTTAAGTGTCTAATTCAGAATATGAAACCATAAATCGCAACTCTGATTTATTGGCAAATTTAATAGCATCACCGAACCTTAGTTTGTTGAGAGAATGAGCTAATATGCTTTACCAGCCAGTTAAAGAGCTTTCTTTGTGTAGACGGCTTATCACCCGATCCTTAGTTAAATATACAGATTAATAATAAGTAATGCATCCAATACAACCTATATTAATTTCCTAGGGTCCCATTT